TTAAAAAAACAAAAAATGTGGGCATTCTGATTGGTGAATTATTTGCTAACTTACCATCTTGATGGAAAATTACCGGGAAGTGTTGTGCAAGCTTTTATCAGGCTTTTTGCAAAGCTGGTGCAAATCTTCCTTTTCTTCTCTGAAGATAACATCTTTGAGTTCAGCTTCTCATCAAACTACTAGTTGACTTATTTTACTATTTGTAATACTATAGTTGGTGATAAATAATTCACTTCTTTAGTTCACAACAGTTTATCAGACTTGAATTAATTTTAGACATTGTTTCATTCAGTGTTTTAATTTTCAAGTGTATTAGAAAAATCTGATTCCTAGTCCAGCAAATGTTGAGTTTCTTGATCTCCCTTTTCATTATTTTATTGGGGAGAGAATATTGCTCTGGTGCTGTCAACAGATGATGAACACACAGGAAAACCAAAGGTCTATAGCTTTTTCTGAACAAAGTCTGGAGGTCTTCTCGGCAATGTTAAGTTTATTTGGCAGATAACAATACTTACTGTATGCAATCATTTATTTCATTGCATGGAATCATGTTTTTATTTTCTTAGGAACATTCTGATTTTAACATTACAGTAAGGCTTGTGTTGAATAATGGTACATTCCTAACATTGGCCTGCTTAAAAAAAGAATGAAAAATTGTCACCTAGACTAAATCAGATAATCTGGGTCATGTCTGAGTTAAAGCTGAAGATGCTAAGATGGGGTTGGGGGAGGGGGGGAATCGACATCTTTGAAGCTTGACAATGACCATCATTAAGTTAGGGAGTCCTATGTCTCTGTCTAATCATCAAATACCGCTTGGATGTTGGCATTTCATCGTTTAATTTGTACACCATTATTTACCCATTGTTTATCCATTTTCTAACTTTTTGTTTCCCCCTCCTTCCCCCAAATGTTTTGGTGATTCCTCAGAACCAACGAAACGTATGCTTTCCTTCCAAGGCTTGGCGGAGTTGGCTCACCGGGAGTATCAAGCAGGAGATTTTGAAGCAGCCGAGAGGCACTGCATGCAGCTTTGGCGTCAAGAGCCTGACAACACGGGTGTGCTCTTACTACTATCCTCCATTCACTTCCAGTGTCGCAGGCTGGACAGGTAAGGAAGCTGGTGCCTTTCTGCCCATTGTGTAGGGCCCTGCTTAGAAAGACAGGCGCTCTGGGCACCGGGATGGCATTCTGATGCTTCCATTCAGGTTTGGCTCATATAGGCAGCCTTAGCCAGTGAAGCCTCTTAGAGGTTGAATGTGGGCAAGAATGTTATTTTACAATAAAATATTTCCAGGATTCTTCCCCATTTCTCATTGAATTGGAGAAGATTGCCTGGTGCCTCCTGTCACAGCTACCCAGTTGTGTAGCCCTCAGGCTCAAAAAATGGCAGTTAACTGTGGCCACCTGTAGGCAATTTTTTTATCCACAATTAAAATTAAAATGTTCTTTTCAAATGTTGAACTTGGATTCTGTTGATAATTCTTAAACTATCAAAGATCCAGTGAATAATTACTACCTTGATAAAGGCGCCTTCAATCTGTGTCTTCTCCAGGTCTGCTCACTTCAGCACTTTGGCGATCAAGCAGAATCCCTTATTGGCAGAAGCCTACTCCAATCTGGGAAACGTGTACAAGGAACGTGGACAGCTGCAGGAGGCCATCGAACACTACCGGCATGCTCTTCGCCTCAAGCCAGACTTCATTGACGGATACATTAACCTCGCTGCTGCTTTGGTAGCTGCAGGAGACATGGAAGGGGCAGTGCAGGCCTACGTTTCTGCCCTCCAGTACAACCCTGTGAGTAGAGATGGTGCCGATCTCTTGAAAAAGCTTTTTTCTCCAAAAGAAGTTTGGAAAGGCCCTTCAAGGTTGCACCCAAAACCCCTTTAATGCTGTGTGGGTGACACCGCTGACTTGTGTGTGAACCAACATTCTCCAGTGTTGTGCCCTTGAGGCCCTTGGTGGTGGGTAACAGCTCCTGTCCATCCTGTTTGGAGAATTAGTATTTGGATGAGTTTCTGTTCACTATCCTGCACTGCTGCTTGCTTGAGCAGCTTGTTGGCTCTTCTCATCTTCTGCAAGGACATCCCTTAATTTAGGTATCTCTCCTCCTCTTCCCGTAATGTGTTCCCCCATGCTGCTAAGTACGATTCCCAGTATTTTCTCAGTTCCCAGTAAATTCCAACATGTAGTGCATAAGCTGTGTGGTGAAAGTTATATGAAGGTCTATTTTCCAGCAGGATAATTTTATAGAGGTGTGTTGTTTGTAGACTTTCTTTATGATTCCAACTAACACTTCCAGTCTTCCCCTTTACCGAAGATTATTAAAAGCACACTAGAAGCTTAGTTGATTAGTTTCTTTATTGCAGTACTCTCCTGTTGATCTGTGTCGGCTATGCTGATGGTGATAGAACCCATTTGCTTTTCAGGACTTGTACTGTGTGCGTAGTGACCTGGGGAATCTGCTCAAAGCCCTGGGTCGCTTGGAAGAAGCCAAG